AATAGAGAAGCAGGCTATGATCTTAGTGTGGTACAAAGATTCATCACATATTCAGAAGAGAGAGAAAAACTAGCGTGAAAAACCCGTAAAGGAAAAAATCATGGGGCATAGTCCAACTAAAGATTTTCACTATAAAAATATGATTAAGTAACAATCTTACAACGTCGATGTACGGATGAGTTTATTATAGAAACAGACGACGATTGATAGTAATTGATGGTGTTCAACGGCGGTCGGCTATGGTCGATGGCGGTCGGCGGTGGCCGATGTCGGCCGACAGCAGTCGACGGTGGCAGGGATGAGTGCTGGACTTCAGTTCCCTCTCAAAGCTCAAGTTCATTCTCAAGCATCAAGGTGCAATTAATGTAGGAATATAGACCACTTTAATCGAACGACTCAAATGGTTTCCTCGATCAGACGGCGTTTGATGGACATTTGAGTGCCTTTACGATGTCGGAATCGATCAATCTTGAGCTTATTGGATTCTACTCGCCGAGACGCCTGATTCGACTTTGAACTCATCGAATTCGACATCCATTTGACCTCCCACATATGTTCGGAAAACTTTTAAATATGGTTTAATAACTTGATCAGAACTCGATTTGGTTCAGATTATACTAATAGTGGTACAATTTGGTCCGTCTCGTCGAGTCGTTCAGTTTGAATATAAGTTTGCTAAAATCGAAGCACTGGATGATTTTTAATCAAAGTTTGAACATTTCTTGTCCAAAAGGTTACTTCAAAATTTATCTCATGCCTCGAGATTCTTGTTTGATGATGAAGATTTGTTGGAGGTGTATCAATTCTCATTATCCAATAAAAGTAATCACATATAATAAAGAAAAATATTGCATAATGATAAGTCAAATCCTAAATTTAACAATCCCAACAATCAAGGTGCCAACGCTCCTCGCCTAAGATTATATGATAATAATACGAATGTACTAACCAAGCAAATACAATTTGCACAAATGGTAATCTTGAGGATATTCCTTAACGTTTAAAAAACTTTTGCTCATTTGAAGGTTAAAGGGCGGCAAGTTCAATTGAATATGAGTTCAAGTAGTAAAAGGCTAGTAAATGTATGCATGAAACCAATGATGACATAATGGGCATCTGTGTGATATGAAAAAGCATAGCTTAGCTAACATATATGAACAAATACTTGGGTATATAAGTATATTTTAAGCACTTGAATATGCACCAAAAAAAATGACATAATTCCTAGACAGTAAAATATGATCCTAATACTCTAAGAAATGACAAAATGCTAAAGGACGTGTGGGTTTTAATTAAGCAATGCAAAAATTTAATTAAATAAGCAAAACGTCCCCTATAAAACCGTTTCCATGAAAAACCCTATTTAAGGGCGTTTTCATAAAAGTGCCCTATTCATTGACCTTTTTATGATAAAATTTACATATAAATAGAGAGCACTTCAACGAAATTTCTCAAACTTATCCGAAATATGATTTTCTTCTGTCTCACTTCTCCACCATATTTCTCATCTTTGTTTTTTAGCTTCTGCTTTCTCACATGTACCTCTCATTTTCTCAAAATTTTATCTTCATTTTTTTCTCTTCTCCTAATATTCTCCCTTGTGAGGCATTTCTGCAATCAAGTTAGCATTTTTAGTAAGGATAATATTTATAATTATTTCATATTTAGAAGTATTTTGATATTACTTTTAATTGATATATTTATAAGAATTTATCATTGTAAAATAGTATTCCACCTCAGTAAATGCTTGAATTCATCAATTCATTTTTTTTAAAATATGTTATAACTTCATTTACTTGGACTTCTGCAACTAGACTTTCTTTTTTAATTAATTTTGATTTGATTTTCAATGTAAATGGTTGGATGAATTTTTTATTAGGAGATGAAAAATAATTATTTAATCAGGGAAAAAAACAATTAGGATAGTTTAAAAAATCAATTTAATTTTTTTATAATAGTAAGTTCATAAATTAAATTGATTGTGTGAGATGAACGACCGTGAAATATAAGACCTTGTCTTTTTTTTAAGTTCATCAAGTGCTACCATTTGAAATATTTAAATAGGATGATCATGTCAACCAATAAAAATTCAAATCAAAATCAAAATAAGTTAATCAATGAACTTATAAAAACTAAGTTCTCATGTTAGAAAAATAAATAAATCTTTAAAAATATTAAACTGAAGATTCTTTAGATTACATGTTAGAAGTATGAAGAACATTTTTTTAATACAATTATATACTTAAAAAAATTATCCAAAAATTTGATAGTTACATAAAAAATTATAATCTTTTTTTTTTTCTGGAATTATGCATCAAATAATTGATGCACACAAGAAGGGGTGTAATAACTATCTAAATGTTTTTATAAGTTTTCACCTCTATTATGAGTTTTAAAAAAAAATGTTTAAATGCATTGCTTACTAATTAAAAATTGGATTCCCACCCACAATTATTTGTTTATAACAACAGGTTGAAGTTGATCGAGTACATAAATGGAAGGTTTAACATGTTAAATTAAATAATAGATTTTTTTTTATTTTAAAATTTTCTAAACTATGCTTTGAAAAAAAAAAAGGAATCAATAACTACTTTTTTCTATTATATAATTTGCATACAGTGCATAATTATTGCATATATATATATAT